TCAATTTGGATACATTACTCTTCGTCTGCCATTATATATGACCTAAGGATATGGGTTTATTCTATTGAACCGGAGTAATTTCGACTCCTCAACATCATTTCATTATTCTTTCAATTCATCTAGTTGTAAACGATGGCCTAAGATAAATTCTTCTACAAAATTTCATATTTGGTCTTTATTATTAGCATTGCATAGTGTGGGGTCGATCTAAGTGTAAAATACGAAATGAGAATTAAATTTCATCATCGCCTCCATTCAGGGATTGATCAATCGACACTAAATATTCATCCTGAAAAAAAGTCACTAATGAACTCATGATTACATTTTTTTGATGTTACAGATTTGTTAGGTTTGTATACAACTGGTCAGACATATTCATCACAACTGTGCTTACTCGATATACAATAACGTCTGTTCTAAGGCACAGGAGGCATTTCAAACGCTTAAGAGTAACACAATGAAAACAAACTTATATTTAGACTAACTGCTGAAATACGGGTTCTTTTCATTGACCTTAGGCACTGTGTTTTAACCAAACCAGGCAGAGTTGAACTGTTGTAATGCTGCTACGTAGCTATTAAAATCCTACCGACGTCCGATCAGGACTCGGTCCCGGATCCCTAGTTCGGGATCCTGATTCTCTTCTGGACTCGGACCTCGTACTTTCTGGATGCTTGTAGAATACAGGTTCTACATCACATCCAAGTCTTCTTATTTTCACTCAATATGGGAGTTAGGATAATCGGATTTGAGTAGCATGTCGAGTCACCGGATCCTAGCTCTCGTTTTCCGACTAAGCGGTAAACTCTTAATAGTTAAAGCACATCAAGTTGACGTGTTTATATGCAGGCGTAACAATCACATAATCAAGTAAAATAAACTTCTCTGTAAACATTAATTCAATCTTAGACATAAAAAACACAAGAAGGCCTGAAAAGTAGGATTGATTAGTGTTCGTTGAAATCCTCCTGTAGTGAACGAGAGCACAGGTTGGGCAACCAAATTGTAAATAACGATAATTACAGAGTTACTCAGTAAAATCGGAAAACCATATCGTAAATCGTTCATTTGCAAAATATCAGTTCATCATACCGAACTGGACTGTTCCTGTTGCAAACAACATCAATCCATTGTCACTATTCATGCATTTCATACAAATTCCATTGTGTTCCCACTCTTCTTCCTTTCTTGATCTTCCCCCATCTTCTGCTGCCAGACATTACGTTGACTGACACTCACGTTATATACTACTTATAAGTAGCTCACACCACACTCCTACCTTACTAAGATAAATAAACAATTCTTCTACTATACGATAATTGCATTATTTATTTACTTGCAAAAATTCAATTATTATTTTACAACCATAAAATTTATTAGAATTGATTAACTGTGTGTGATTAGTATTTTCTTAAAATTACTTATTTACCATAAAAAAAGCAAGTACACTTTACTTGCCAATGAATTAAGAGAAAAAACAAACAATCTAGAAATTTGTGTTACATTTTAAAAAAAAAATTGTTTTCCAAACAAAAACATTGTACTAAAAATTTTTTCTATCATGTGTTGTATACAGGTTGATCTTTGCAGTGTTTAAGTTACATCTTTTGTTTGTTTGTTTGTATGCGTGTGTGTGTGTAAGTCAGTGCTAATAACCATTTTGTGATATGCAGTTATGTGTTACAAGTAAAAGAAGAGGGATTCAAACATATATGAGCACAGTGGATGAAAGTTTGATAGCTTCATGAGTCATTTGCAGAATAAAGTTGGTGTTGGTGATAATATTTGATTCTATTGAAAACTAGTGTGGTGTGAGCTACTTATAAGTAGTATATGACGTGAGTGTCAACGTAATGTCTGGCAGCAGAAGATGGGTGTAGATCAAGCAAGGAAGAGTTAGAACACAATGGAATTTGTAGGAAACGCATGAATAGTGACAATGGATTGATGTTTTGCAACAGGAACAGTCCAGTTCGATATGATGAACTGATATTTTGCAAATGAACGATTTACGATATGGTTTTCCGATTTTACTGACTGAGTAACTCTGTAATTTTCGTTAAATTCAATCCGGTTGCCCCACCTGTGTTCTCGTTCACGTCCAAGTAGGTTGACTCAGTGATAAAAAGGGAAGACACCTGGGTGGATGTTATGGTGTCGCAGCTCAGAGAACAGATAATGGCGACCGTTTGTTGCAAGTATGCTCAGATAACCAACTATTTCTAGTAAACACTAACATTAGAGCATAAGGAAAAACACCTTCTGGCCTGGCGACCCCCAAATTCATCCCAACGATGGACACAACTAGGTCATATCGCTATAAGCCTTCGGTGGAGAGGCTCTATTGAAGACTGCCATTAATTCTGGAGCACTTGTTTAGATTCAGAACATGCTCTGGTGCTTGTGCATATTTGTTTGGGGCCCACTGGACGTAGGAAAGACACCGCAAGGAAACTTCTTATGGTTCTACTTAATGATAATGAGGCTAAGAATATATTCCAGGAACAACCAGAAAGAGAGCTAGGAAACCATGTAAGTGATTCCCATCCGGAGGCAGCTTGGAATGATATCAAAAAGGCTGTGGAAACAGCAATGATATCTGCTAGTGAGGTAAACCATATGGCTAGGAAGAAGCCGTGGGTCTCGGTAGCATCCACCGAACTGATAGACACCCGTAACCTCATCCCACCTGACTCTGAACATAACGAATAGCGAAGTCAGCTTAGGCGCAGGCTGATAAAAAACCTACTTAACGACAGCGAACAGTGGTGGGTGGCGAAAGCAAGGGAGATGGAAAAGGCAGCTGCGATAGGCAACACTAGACAACTTTTCCGACTTATCAAGGAAACTTGTATTATGAATCCTAGTGTAAGTGAGACTATCTCGGAAAATGATGGGACTATTATTTATTCTCAATCCAGGAGACTGGATCGATGGGCAGAACACTTTAGGAATCAGTCCAACTGGCCTCGAGCCACTCTTCGGTTACCCACGATCCCCAGTCATCCTGAACGGCAAGTCGACGTAAGCCCCCCGAATCTTTATGAAGTTGAGAAAACTATAGGAAATCTGAAGCAAGGTGGAGCAGCAGGTCCTGATAGACTGACCCCTGAGATTTTTAAGGATGGCGTCCCAGTTTTAGCATCTAGGTTGACTGAGATCTTAGGTAGAATCTGTGAACTTGGCGAAATCTCGTCTGAATGGTTTCAGTCATTGATTGTCTCAAATTAAAAGAAAGGACAAAAGTCCTCTTGTGACAATCAAAAAGGAATAAGTCTAACTAATATAGTATCTAAAATATTGGCCTCAATAGTATTACGGCGCTTAACTAGAGTTCGTGAAGAGCAGACTAGAGAAAATCAGGCTGGTTTCGACCTGAACATGGCTGTATAGACCACATCTTCACACTACGGCAGATGCCGGAACACAGGCACACATTCAGGCGCCCGACGATAGTTGTCTTCTTGGATCTTAAGGCAGCATTTGACTCAGTGGATCGTGAGGTTCTATGGCAGTGTCTGTCATTGAAAGGTGTACCAAATAAGTACATTAACCTCATACAAGCTCTCTACTCAAACACCACTGGTTAAGTGAGAGTTTATGACGAACTGTCTTCGGAATTCTTTACTTCCAGCGGTGTCCGTCAGGGATGTCCACTTTCCCCATTCTTGTTTAATTTTGTCATCGACATGCTTTTAGAGTTGAAATTATCTTCGTCTGACTTCGAGAGTGGACCTTCTACCAGGAGGATCGCTTACTGATCTTGAATATGCCCCATGATATAGTTCTATTTGGTGAAGACGCTTACAAAATGCAGTCTTCTGACCACCCTAAGCAACAATGCAAAGTTTATCAGTATCAATACTGACTAAAACACCAAATCCAAGCAGCTAGCGTAGATTAGGCAAAACGGCTTTGAACAAATCACACATATCTACAATTGTTGTTTGCTTTAAAACGTTCATCGAAAAAGGTGAATAACTGAAAATATCCTCAATCTCTTTGAAAAAGATCTGGAAGTTTAGATTGAACACATAAAGTGAAATACACCAAAAACTAGATTTGACCAAAGGATGCTATGAGAAAAGTCAGACAACCTAGATAGGTGTATCACGATTGTTGTCGAATCCATTTAAAAACAACTAATTATTGGCACATACAAAAGTAGTAGCCATAAATGCGTAACCAAATTAGAGCATTTCGTGAGGGAGCGCGAACTCTCTCCATTTTCGGCCTCTAGGTGCATAGAGACCATTAAGCCAAAGATAATCATAACAGGATGATTCAAACATTTCGGCTTACAAACATTTGATAACAAATAACGCTTTGATACCTTTAATCAACATAAAATATGATTTGTAAAATAGTAAAGGAACTACACTCAGTTAACCAACATTTAACACATTCTAATAACTATGAAATATTGCTAAATCGATATCCAACTACTGATAAAATATTAAGTAGGCAATCAAAACACGGGTGCAAACAACGACAGGTTCAAGGTCAACAGCAACCAATCAAGATCGCGGTTAGCAGAACAAGCTACAGGTCAAACGTGGAGAATTTCGAATGCTTCACTTCTATCTGAAGTTTATGCTGATGATATTGTTAAAAAAAACAGTGAAAGCTCCACAACCAAAACACCCAGCTCAGAGAACCAAACACCACCACAATATCCACCCGAGCTACAAATTTTCTCCATCATCTCAGTATATATGACTGCATTAGGGATAGAGCACAGAACCTTTAGGCCACTAGTAACCAGATTACTGATTTGGAATCCAATAGTATACACTCTTAACTTTAGTCAGTTTGCTTCCTGATTTTTAATAGTTGTCCAATTATAATCGGTCAATGAAGTAAAACTTCAAAGTTCACCAGCCCACACCTCACAAGCCTCTATATAATAATCTGCACATCAATTATATGACAGGGTTTTTATAAATTACTCAGTTTTATTAACTTAGTGATACAATATTTCTCGCTTTATATAACAAAGAACACAATATAACATCATCACATTCTATGCATGATGATATTGAACAGAATAGAATTAAAAATCAAGCTTTTATAATGTACAAATTTTTATTCATAATATTTAGTTAATAACAATTTTAACAAATCGATGTATGGTAAAATGCGCCTTCTACATCAAGACGAATAATAATTTCATTGTATGTACAAAAATTAAACAATCAGACGGAAAAAAACAGCGAGTTTAGTAACAAAAATTACGTAACTGCAATAATAATAACCGTATAATCATCTAAAGAGAGAGAGAGAAATTAATGTGTATGTTGATATACCAATGAAAAGAGATAATGAACATCATATTCAGTGTGTTGTGTGTGTACTCTCAACCTCAGGGCATGTCATCAGCTATACTCGACAATAAATCATCCATGTCTAGAAGACAAAAAAAAGACCAAACAACACAGCACAATTAAGAAATAAGGCATAAAATAGAGGTGATGGTATTGTGAATGAATGCATTTACGGAAATTTATTTAAATCGGATGTCGGCGGCTTTCATTATAAATCAGCAGCATGTCTTAGAACCGTTGTTTGTGTTATAATGCTGCTACGTATAGCTATTCAGTCCTACCGACGTCCGAATTCAATTATTCCAATACGAACCAAATACTATTCCCAAATCTCCTATATATCAGAACGCAACTCCGTTGAATGGAGTTGTTTATTCGTTCGAGTACAGATGAGAGGTAGGTAGGAAGAAACGGAATCGAAATCATGAAGTCTTACAGATAGTGCGTATTTATACATTTAGGTCGAATAGGAAAGAGCATCGAAGTCTGTGGCATTGACTGTTTAGGACGACCAATAGGAAAGAACACTTGAAATGACATTGACAGTCCGGATGACCAATAAGAGACAACATTGAAGTATTTGACTTTGACAGTTAAAACGATCATAAATTTGACCAATAGAAATCGACCAATAGGATTATACTTCCAAAAATAGTACTCTTAGGATATTTGGTGAATATCCTAACAGTTTGTATATATCCTGGGACAATCGAGTAAGCAATGTTGTTGTTAGGAAATGAGTACTAGGTAAAGATTGGCAGATCAACTAATGAAATAGTCAAACTTCAGCAGTTGAGGTAGTTGAGAGATGTATTACGAATACCCAACCACCGACTGTCTGGACGAGTGATATTTTGTGGTGTAGGAGTAGGTTGAAAGAAAGCTAGGGGCGGTCAAACCAACACATGGCACAAATCAATGAAGTCATTGACAACTGGACTCAGTCATGTTAGTAGGTGTAGACTATCTGGTAAGGGTCCACGAGACGATAATAATCGATGGTTAGAGACTTTGAATGACATGGCTCAAAATCATTTGCAATGGCGCAGGTGCATCTATTTCTTGTGCTCTCTCAAATCCTAATCTTCTGAATTCCTCATCACTTTATCATTCTTGTTTTTTAAATTTATTTTACTATATTATACTTCTTGAATAATTTCTTCGAATCCCAATATTTTTGAGTACCGCTAATACTTCTACTATCTCCACTATTATGGGATTTGAACTGACAGTTGCATCTCTGCGCTAATGTGGTACGTACGTACGTAAGTACGAAGTTCTACGTTCTAGCTGACTGACTGAGCATCAGAAACAGGGATGTATAAATGAAAACTAGAAAGTGTATTGAATAATTGAACTCTAAACACTTTATGAGTGTGACTAACTGTTTATTAAACTGTTTAATACGCTCTGGTTATCAATATTCCTTCTCGCCTGATTCAAAAACTATCTTCATAAACAAATGAAATCATAAGTAACACATTTGAAATTACAATGTTTAAAATGAATTTTGTTTTGCTAACCTACTTCTTCAACGATAAGGATATAAAATTGTGTTATAATCAAGGTAATTTACAAGACATTTTCAATCTAAATTCATCTACACTTTATCAAGCAATGTACCTCAATTCAAATTGTGTATTAGAATAGTTTGATGATTAGAGATTGTAGATATTATTGTGTTAAAAATGTTTGAAAATGTAATTTGTTTACCATTTTATGCAATGTAAGCTTAGAAGAGTCTGTTGATGCAGTCTGGAACAAACAGTTGAGTTGACCCAGGTTGTGATATCACATATTTACTTATTCATTTAAGCACATACTTATTGGTATAAACTAGACACTTAAATAATTATGCGCAACACAAATCACTGAATTTGTGAGTTGGTTGGCATACTATCCTGGTTCCCAAAATGAAAGCAGTTTTTTGGAAGGACCACTTCTTGAATCATTGACCTACAAGTCTAGATGCAGTCCCATGGTAGACAGTGACTAACAATAGGTTTATAAGCTATCTCCGCCATTAGTAGTGAGTAGGACTTCCCTAGTAGTGGCTATGCACGTATAGTGAGAGCATTTCCAGGGCGGAGCGAACTCTTCCCACTCTCGGCTACACCCGGGAATTTAGGGGTACGATGAAATGAAACTAACAATAAAAAAGGAATAGTAAAGGATTCGAAATAATGTAGTAACTATGACAGACTAATTACTGAAAAAATGATTTTAAAAAATATGTACACTTAGGAACACAAGAGCTCAGAATTTAGCGGAAGACAGAAAATGAAGCCACGCCATTGAGACCAATTTTAAGAAATCACTCAGCATCGTGGACCAGTGGTTATAATTATCGCACAGACCGTAACCAGATAGGTTACCCTTACTAACATTGCATAGATAAATAGAAAATGACTTTATGGACTGATGTTTAAGTGAAATACGGTAAGGTGACCTACGCTGCAATGGTTTATATATTTTATGGTCAGCCAGCTATGATGTAGAAATTCGTACGTATGTATGTTAGGATATACACCCAATATCCTAAGATAATTGTTTAAGTCTGATTTTATTGGTCAATTCCTTTCGGTCGTCCTAACTGTCAATGTCACAGACTTCAATGTTCTTTCCCATTCGACATAAATATATAAATACGCATTATCTGTGACGTTTTATGACCCGGACACGGATCCCTAGTGCGGAATCCCGATTCTCTTCTGGACTCGGACCTCGTACTTTCTGGATGCTTGTAGAATACAGGTTCTACTTCATATCAAGTCTTCTTCTTTTACTCAACAGCGGTTTGGGACAATCGGATTAGAGTAGCCTGTCGTGTCGCCGGGTCATCAATCCTCGCTCTCGTTTTCGGACTAAGGTAAACTTGTAATAGTTCAAGTATATCAAATGACATGTTGACGTTTATGCGTAACAATGTACATCAGTTCAAGTTGCCATACCATATTAGCACAGAGAAATGGAATTATCAAATCAAATCCCATAGTGGTAGAAGTTGTAGCTCTATCAAAGGTAATGAAGAAGTTTAGTGATCGGAGATATGATAATATGGTGCCTCTGGAGTAGTTACTAGAAAAATTACACCAATGAACACCACACAGACGTAAGACAAAAAAAACTGCAATTTTGTCACTTCTCCCCCAAGAGAAATGAAGTTCATTTAAAAAAAAAACGTTAAACTATAGTAATAATGATATCCATAGAAGCAAAGCAAACAAGAAATTACCATCTTCAAAGAGATCATTTCTCATTGTGATTGTATCAGATGGGGTAGTAGTTGTTGTGATAGCAGTAGGAGTAGGAGTAGGAGTAGCAGTGGTAGTAGTCATCAATGTTAATAATGGGTTTACATTTTCTTTCTCTGAACTATTGTTATTATTATTATTATTATTATTATTATTATTATTATTATTATCACAGATTGATTGAACTTTATTATTGACTGACATTGAATTAGACTTTAATAAGGAACCTAAACCACTGGGACGTAACTGTGACGGTGTACAATTCTTCACAATCGATAATTCTGCATTTAAACTCGATGAAAATTTATTCACTTGTGGTTGTATTCGATAAGAATTACTGTAAAAACAAAACAATACATAAAAAGAATCGAATTAAAAATAGAGAATATACACGAAATTCAAAAAACCAATGGCCTACAGACATTACTGTAGTCATCGATACTAAATTGTTAATGGGACATAGATTGGATTGAAGCATGATTCCGTTGCTGCACGCTGATTGGCTCTCTCGTTATCCAATCAGCGCTAGTCGATACTGAGGGAATATTCTAGAATCTTCTCATGTAAGAAAACTATAAATATACTAACGTCTTTTTCCTTTATACCTTTTGTCTTCCCCATAACCTTGTTGTTGTTGGAATATAATCTCTTTTCCTGTTCAACCGTGTTCTGATTTGGGGAGAACGTTTCGAGTGAATTGGTGTCCGACAAAACTAAGCATTAGGAAATAGCTGGGTTGTAATACAGAGAGAGAGAGAATCATCACAAAATTAAAACCGCTTTTCATTGGATATTCAGCAACAGCATCACGTAAATGATAAACAAGCCTGCTAGAATGGAAATTTCTCATAATTTTCACTAACAATTTGTTAGGATATTCACCCAATATCCTAAGAGTACTATTTTCGGAAGTATAATCCTATTGGTCGAAATTATGGTAGTTTTAACTGTCAAAGTCAAATACTTCAATGTTGTCTCTTATTGGTCATCCGAATGGTCAATGCCATTTCAAATGTTCTTTCCTATTGGTTGTCGTCCTAAACTGTCAATGTCACAGACTTTGATGCTCTTTCCTATTCGACCTTAATGTATGAATACGCATTATGTGTAAGCCTTCATGATTCCGATTCCGTTGCTTCCTGCCTACCTCTCTTCTGTTCTCGACCCAATAAACAACTCCATCCCACTGTGTTGCGTTCTGATATTATAGGAGATTTGGAAATAGCATTTTGGGTCGTATTGGGATATTTGAATTGGACGCCGCTAGGACTGAATAGCTATACGTAGCAGCGTTATAACACAATTATAATTTGGTATGCAAAAGAGATACTTTTTGACGGAAAAGATAGATAATCATTTTAGCCAAACTATTATTTCCTAGAATCACTGAATTTTATCGATCAATGTCAATATGTAGTCAGTAGTTTGAATAGTTTAGTGTAAGATGTTACCTTCGATTAACTCAGTGATACTGTTTCAAACTGTAATGCTGTATTGATACGGGTTCTAATCTCATAAGGAGTATATGTTTTATTCAAGATTTCAAATATATCTTACTGACGAGTCTGAACTAGCAATAAAAGCAAGTAGAATGAAGTTTTCCTGTCTAGTGCCTCCAATCACAAAATATCTAAGTAATGGTTGTCGATAAAAAGTGGGAATTCACAATACATGTAGTAATCGTGACGTAAAAGTAGGTATCTTAGCTATTTCCTCTCTATTTTTATGAGCATTACCTGTAAAAAAAAAATTGATATCATACAAAACTCACATAGGTTTCAAGATGGGAGATATTGGGCATGCTTGTGATGTTTGTGGTGTTGAAGGCGGTGAAGGAGCTCTTAAACAGTCTGCCTCCAAAGTTTCCACTTCCTGAAGAGATAATGGTGAAGATAGAGGTGCTGTCATATGATCAGATGTTGAAGTGATAAAGGTATTTTCAGAAGTATATATTTTTACAACATTTGATAGAGTTATATTGGCGTAAAACTTTTTGCCAGTCGGACTGAAAATAGTGACCTACAATTTTATAAAACATAGAAAATCATGTGATAAATAGATTAATCTGTGCAATACGTTTTGCTTCTTCGACGATTTTATTCGAGATATCTAAAACGACGATATGATAAGCATTGATTACCAAATTCACGAAGAATCACCATATAATTGTAAATGACATAACAACTATGGAGAAGATATTTTATTAATACGACCTTTGATCTTTCATCTACTTGCTGAACTATACTAATAGGGACTAAATCAGACATACACCATGTGACTAACATACCGTTATGACTTAAACAGAACTGTGACATACCTTAAATATTGTAGCAGGTAGAAGAAAATACTATGAAAGAATTGAAGCAGAAACAAAGCTGCCTTTACGAGATACATATTGCGACCTCTAATTTGTTTAGAACGATTAGTTGGACCAACAAGCAGATCAGATTGGCCTCATCCAATGTTATTAGCTTTTAGGAAAGCCTTCTTGGGAGTCATCCTGAATAACATGGTTTACCTGACCTTACAGTCAGTCAATCAATCAATAGCAACGTAAAACTTCGTCCGTACTTACATCAGTTCATGTTGCCATACCACGTTAGCACAGAGGTGTAATTGTCAATTCAAATCCAATAGTAGTAGAGGTATTAGCAGTAGTCGGAGAGGTTAGGATTAGAAGATATCAGTCAAGAAGTAGAATCTAGTGAAATAGATTTAAAAAGATAAAGTGATGAAGAGTTAAAAAGTTTACGGTTTGAGAGAACACAAAGAATGAATGCACTGGGGATCGAAGAGATTATTCAAGAAATATAATCTAGTGAAATAAACCTAAAAGAAGAGAAAAAACGGTCATGAGGAATTCGAGACATTGGGATTTGAGAGAACACAATGATTGGATGCACATGCGTCACTGCAAACGATTTTGGACCATGTCATTCAAAGTCTCTGAGCATCGGTTACCATTGTCCCGCGGACCCCAACCAACCAGTGTCTACACCTACTAACATGACTCAGTCCGTTTTTCAATGACTTCATTGATTTGTGCCATGTGTTGGTTTGACCACCACTAGCTTTCTCCCAACCTACTCCTACACCACAAAATATCACTCGTTCAGACAGTCGGTGGTTGGGTATTCGTAATACATCTCTCAACTACCTCAACTGATGAAGATTCACTATTTCATCAATTGATCTGCCATTCTTACCTAGTGCCCGTGTCTTAACAACAGCACTGCTTACTAGATAGTCCCAAGATATACGAGCGGTGCTTCGGAGACACCTATGAGTCATGCTTCACAGACTTAAAGGAGGACGGAAAGAACTGCTGCACAGTAAACTCATCTTTTGGTTTGTAGCCGGATATCTCGCCTACACCATAAATTACGCATGTTATAAAAACCCAACAGAGCCTTCTGTATGCTCGCTGAGACTTTGTCAGACACGAGGCCATCAGCACTGACGAGACTCCCAAAATAAATGGATCGGTCAACACGTTCAACTACTTCACTCCCTGTCAACAGTTTAGGTGCCGACGCAAGCCAATCAATCCTGACGCAACATTTAGCATTTTGAGGAAGAGAATTGCATCCCGATCATGTTTCCACTGTTGCTGGGGGTGGTCAGAAGACTGCATTTTGTAAGCGTCTTCACCGAATAGAACTATATCATCGGCATATTCTAAGTCAACATACGAATCTCCTCGTAGGTCAACTTCTGAAAAGTCAGATGTTGAAAGTTTCGTAGCTTAAAGCATGTCATTAACAAAGTTAAACAACAAGGGAGGAAGTGGATAACCATGATAAACACCACTTGAAGTGATCAATTCCGATGACAGTTCGTGATGAGCTCTCACTCGACCAGTAGTGTTCGACTAGTGGACTTGTATAAAGTTAGTGTACTTCTTTGGTACAGCTTTCAATGACAGACACTGCCACAGAACCCCACGATTCACCGAGTCTAAGTATAATCGAGGCTAACAATTAGAAACTGTGGTAGTTAGACTGATTCCCTTGTGATTGTCACAAGAAGACTTTTGTCGTTTCCTATAAATTGGGACAATCAGGGATTGATACCAGTCAGATGGGATTACGCCCAGTTTGCAGACGCTACCTAAGATCTCAGTCAATCTAACTGCTAAAACTGGACCAACATCCTTAAAAATTTCAGGGATTAGCTTATCGGGACCCGCTGCTCTCCTTTGCATCAAATTTCCTATAGCTTTCTCAACTTCATAAAGAGTAGGAGGATTTACATTAATTTGCCATTCAGGTTGACTGGAGATCATGGGTAACCGAAGTGTGGCTGAGGGCCAGTCGAATTGATCCCTGAAGTGTTCTGCCTATCGATCCCATCTCTTGGGTTGAGAATGAATGATACGACCATCCTTTTGAGATAGTTTCGCTAACAGATAGATTCCTAGTACCGGTTTTCTTAATAATTCCGAATAGTTACCTACCGTCATTTATCGCCGCTGCCTTTTCCACCGCTCTGGCTTTCGCTACTCACGACTATTTGCGATCGTTGCGCAGGCCTTTTATCAGCCTGTGCTCAAGCTGAATCCGCTCTTCGTCACTTTCAGAGTCAGATGGGATGAGTTTTTGAACATCTATCAGTTCAGTAGATGCTACTGAAATCCTCTGTTTCTCCTTAACCTTATGGTTTACCTCAATAGCAGATATCACTGTTGTTTCCATAGCTTTTTGGATATTATTCCAAGCTACTTCAGGATGGGCATCACTTACAGCACTGCCTAATTGTTTTTCTAGTTGTTCCTGACCTTACAATTTATATCCGTCCAATAACTAACAAACTGACACCAAATGTACAGATACTGAATATGTCTAAAACAAAACTAAGGGTTTATTAAACAAGTCTTTTGACAACAACTCAGATTGTGACTTTATCGGTTAGCAAGTGTACATAACAGCCTTAACGTCAAAAAATAGGAGCAAACGAGTATCAGAAGTTAAAATAACAGGTCAGTAGAAAATATGCTTATAAAATGACACAAAGGATATCAGAATCAACAAAAAACAAGACTAAAAGTTGATTAGAGGATGAGTAGTTGTAAGAAAAGGACTATGTAGGTCGCGAAATTCCGGATGAGATTAAAATCTAACAGTCAAGCTTAAAGCTTGGTCGAAAGACCATAAATATGCGGATTATTTAGATGAGAGCTAGTGTTTGCAAGCACTCAAGAATACATCTTAATGAAGTGATGAGCGATATGATCACATTCCGAAAAAATAAATTCGCCAAAATTATTTAGGATTTCGGCACCTGAACTAGTGATAGGGAGTGAAGTGGTCGAACGTGTAGACCGCTTCACTTATCTTGGGAGTCTCATCAGTGCCGATGGCCTGATGACTGACGAAATCTCGGCACGGATACAGAAGGCTCGATTGGCTTTTGCCAACCTGCGTCACTTATGGCGTAGGCGAGATATCCGTTTGCTGACTAAAGGACGAGTGTATTGCGCAGTGGTTCGCTCCGTCCTACTTTATGGCTGTGAAACATGGCCAATGAGAGTAGAAGATACTCGTCGGTTATTGGTTTTCGATCATAGATGTCTTCGAAGCATTGCTCGTACATCGTGGGACACCCGAGTGAGCAACACTGTTATTAGGAAACGGGTACTAGGTAAGAATGGCAGATCAATCGATGAAGTGGCGAAACTTCATCAGTTGAGGTGGTTGGGACACGTGTTGCGTATGCCTAACCAGCGACTCCCTCGTCGAGCTTTGTTTTGTAGTGTAGGAATAGGATGGAAGAAAGTTAGGGGCGGCCAGACCAAAACATGGCAGAAATCCATGAACTCATTGACGAGTGGACTTAGCCATGTCGGTAATTGTCGACTACCTGGTTGGGGTCCACGAGATGATAATAATCGATGGCTAGAGACCTTGAATGACATGGCTCAAAATCGTTCGCAATGGCGCCGGTGCATTTATTCTTTGTGTTCTCTCAAATCCTAATCTTCTGAGTTCTTCAACACATCTAGTTTTTACTTTCTAAACTTATCTCATTGAATCATACTTCGTGAATAATATCTTCTAATTCTAACCTCTCCGATTACTTCTAATACCTTTACTACCTCTTCTACTATTGGATTTGAATTGACAATTATATCTCTGTGCTGATGTGGTATGGCGACATGAACTGATGTACTTACGTACGAAGTTCTACGTTGCAACTGACTGACTGACTGACTGACTGAGGATTTCGAACCATACCGCATCTGTTTGTATTCAAAATTTCCATACAAATAGGTGCTGATGCTGCATGGTGATTTGCAGTTGTTCATTTTATAAGCATGCTCTTATAAGTATTCATCAATCTAAAATTGAAATGGAATTACTCATTACCAATAAATTGACATGAGATTCTAGAAAATGAGGTAAGTGCGTTAGATGAGTTCTTATGTGGTGTGTGCTACTTATACGAACGATATAAGTAGTATAAGAAGGGACGTGAAAGAAGAAGTCTCTCGGTCAGAAGAGGAAAACGGAAAGCAAATGGAGCAAAAGCAAGAAGTAAATGGAGTACCAACAGGAAGGAAAGGAAGAAACATCAGGAATAGAAGAAGGATGGAGCGTTGGAAGTCACGACTCAAAGATGGTGTGCAAATAGAGTGTTCAATGTAATGTTTTCGTTTTTAATTGACTGAGAGTGTAAATTTGCATAATACAATCTTCCGCGCCTGCCTCAGTCTTCTCACTTATACCAGCAAAAAAAATCTTCTAAAATAATAAATCTTACCTGTTTTAACAGAAGTAAGGAACAACAACTCAAATCGTTTTTATATTCTTTGATCACTGAACGATGAATTGTGCAAGCTAAAACTCCTAAATCATTTGATTATCAATGTAATAAAAACTCTTTTATACCTGTATTGTCTTTTAACAATGCTTTTGCATCTGTAGGCATGAGTTCAACTTCATCAAGAAAACCACACATTATTGGAACTTTACCTTTTGGCAATTGATTAGAAGTAATCTGAGATAACAAATTATTGGAAAGAAAAAAAATTTTACCATTTTTAAAATTTCTCTAACAGAATATTTTTCTACAACTGACCATATAGATGAACCACATTCTAATTGTAGTCTACTTAGCAAAGCAGCTTCTTCACTTTGACTTGAAGGTGATTGATTCTGAGACAATGATGGCGAAAGACAGTATTCACTTAAATTAGATACTGTATTATCTTTTTTCTAAAAAGGTGAAAAATGAGATTTTCAGAAACGATAATGCTTTATTTTTTACTTTTTTAGATGATTTTGGTCCAATTATTTGTCGTTGACGATGTCCATGTTCATGAAGCTGAATTAAAAGTAACAAAATATGTTTAAGCGCATACCTTTGGCAGTAAACCTGCTGGACCAGGAAGTTTACAATGCTTGAATTTTTCTTTATTTGAAATACGAGTGGTTTTATTTGGTGAATGAATACATTTCAGCGGGAGTTTATCAAGGCAAGGTAATTCAGAAGATGACTTGAGAAAATCAGATGGCTTTACAAGATGTTTAGATTTGAACTCAGAGAATATAGAATCATTGAGAAAATCATCATTATCATCATCAGAATCATTGAGAAATGTTAGATCAAAATCACTATTTAATTCCTAAAGATGAATTACAAAAAGCATGGAAACATAATCAAAAGTGATCTGTTTGTTGTAACAAAAACGGTAATTCACATCCTACCAAATTTTCTACCAAAAATCAAATACAGTACAAAAATAAAAGACAAATATTTGGCTCAACCAGGTCATGGAAAATACTAACAGGATACGGATTTCAAACTTAGCTTGGGAGATTCACTTAGCCTCATTATTGGTCTACAATTCTAACCACAGCTTATGAAATTAAGGCCACTGTAAGGTACTCTACAGAAAGCTACGTTATGATTCTTACCTTAATTACTTATTCTCGATACATAGAACATGGCTTTCCAGCAGGAAAAGTAGATAGCTATAAAGATAGGAGTTAAGACAAGCGTAGATTCAATCAACTGACTGAACGTTACAACAAAATCTGGGTTGATAAAGTGCTAAGAAATCAATTGTGCAAATTAAATCAGATCACTAAATTCATAATCCCTATTACAAAATAAACGATACGTTCACGTGCATTCATATGAGATCTTTTTATCGACGGGCTTATTTAAAACACTATAGTTATATATATATGGGACGTCACAAGTCACATGGATGAAAACTATGGAATTTAGTCCGCAACAATCGAATTAAAGATTATTATGAAATAGATGAGTGATCAGATCGAGGAGAAATTAAAACTGACAATAAATTCACTTCGAAATTTTGAATACTCTCCACCTCCCATGATACATTCTACTTAAAGACACAGTCAACGGCAACAAAAATAGCCGGAGCTTGTAAAAGCACAGAACTTTTAACTTGTGCAAACAGATAGTTGATGTTCCCAGCACGTCTACGTACATGTAAATAATAATCGCATGTCAATCAATAGATATTTACCATGTGCTCAATTAGATGGTGATACTGTTCCTCCCATAGTATTTGCGTAGTGATATTCAAAACAATTTTCAAATTTAAGGAAATTAGGAAATTCAAGACCAAACAACCAGTGTAGCGGTCAGCATCTAGCCAGTAGAAACTGTATTCTAGTGTAGGGTGCAGAACGGAGTAAGCTGGAAAAAGGAAGAACAAGAGAAAAGGTGAATATTGACTCAGCAGGCGCGCACAATATACCTACACTCAATAATACAAAGTATTAGCAACAACCCGCAACAACATGATACAGAATGCTTGGAAGCACACAAGGGAAATGCAACTCAATCTACTCGAAAACAGAATGGCGCAATCACCTCATAATCGTTCCCAACTTTTCAAAGTTTTCAATGATGTCGCAGCCTCTCTCCTTACAAGAGACGTAAACTTCCAGGAACGAGTGTAATGACGAGTAGCTAAGTGGGTGGTGGGACTAAAGAAGAAATCTTACGAAGACAGACTCCAACACTTGGAACTATTATGAGTCTTTGGAGAACGAGGGGTGATTCGATAATGAATTACAACATATTAGGCACACCAATTCACCCTAACGCAGGAAACTTACTAGTACACCACCACGCTCCTCATGGTTACCCTCAAAATATTGCACATCAAAAAGAAAGGAGCCTAGGCACGCATCGACTTGTCCTAATTGAGAAGCGCATCCACCAGGAATGCTTTTCTGGCCGAAGTAACTACAGCTTCCTTAGTGGATAGCTTCAAACAGACTTGAAAAACATGTACTCACCCATGGATTACTATCTCTCCCTCGGACCAGCCGTGCCTGATGCGTCTGGAAGCTTGTTTGTTGTTGTCATTATCATTATCTCAAATCGCTAAACTATTCTATCTCATTGGAATTTTCTCCTTAATGTTTTCTACATAGCAACCACTTGGTCTCCGGCCTAGAAGTGTGATGACTACAGGTATTCGGAAGACCGAGTGCCATGAGACAAACGCATTTATTCGAATAACAAGGCATACAAACACGTAAATAACTATCAAATTGACTAGAACTAGTGCGATCGAGTGGTTATACTACCACCTTTTGCACTTTACCAAATACCTGACCGTACCACAAAGACGAGAAGCGAGCGCGAAAAAATCAATCCAGTATCCAATATCTTTTTCACGAACGTACTTGTGTGTTCGCCCTTTGATGCGCAATTCCTCAAGGGCTACCTTGAGGGGTGTGGTTTTGGCAGGATGCTCATGCCGAGATGGATCGGCGTACTTGGTATATTGTATGTCATTATCATATCACCTCTGATTCTCCCATAACTCAGTGGGAATAATCTCAAGTGCTGGAGTCTGTCTTCGTACAGTTTATTCTTTAACCCTATCACTCATTTAGTTGCTCGTCTCTGTGACTTCGTCTGTGAGACGACGTTGTGAACTTCAGGATATGGCCCTGCGTTTGTCTCAAAAAGAGTTAAGAACAATTGTGAGGTGATTGCACCAAGTTGTCTTCACATAGAGTGAAGAGTTGCATTAGCCTTGGCTGCATCTCCTATATAGTTCGAAGTGGTGTTCGGGCTTTTTGTGGTTATTAGATCGAGATCGCGCTCTGAGAAGACATTAGGAAGCGTACTTCCACTGAGGACGTAAGTTGTTTGTGTCACGTGGGACAGAATGTTCATAACATGACCTTCTGACGCGTTCAGTTTTAACCGGTTGTCTCCTGCCCATTCCTCAATCTCCGTAAGTTCCTTTTGGAGCTAATTTGAATCCTCTACACTTCTTATGGACCTTCAGATCTTCGCTTTGTCGGCATAGATTAGTGCCGCCAAAGTAATTTTACCTAACAAGTCGTTATTAAATATCAGGGAGAGGATTAGACCTAGGATGGTCTCGCGTGAAACTCCTGATGTTGAAACTCTCCAGCTCCCATGCACTCTTATTTACCTCGATACGAAGCTTTTTGTTCTCAAGGTAGTTTCTGAGCCAAGAAATAAGTGGATCAGGGTAGCCTATCTTAGGAGTGTCAGTAGTGACGCAAGGAGCAGAACAGAAAATATTCTCGTTTAAAGCTGAGTCATAACTTAGCAGATAATATTTTTAGATAAAACAAAGGTTAGATTGCCAATACCTTTCTTTTTCTGTAATAGATCACTAACTGTACACTTGTATTTATGTAGGTTAATGAAGACAAGTCACTAGTAAGATAACGAATAGATAAATAGTCTTATGGGTAGAGATTAAAATCAACAAGATTGTTGATTTGCAGAATATAATGATGAAGGCACAGTTATCTGATGCTTTGGTGATATTTGACTTATTGTTTCCTTTTTTCGCGAACACCATTGCTCAAGAAGTCACGAATGAGCTGTATTTCATCACGATTCCCCAGATCAGCTTTAGTAGGATTTCTTGTTTAGAAGTGAAACCAGTGCAAGGTTACAAACATGAATCGTAGACGTGATTGACCTGGAAACGCAACACCAATATCACTGCTACATCATAAAAAGCCTTAAACAAATGAAATGTTCTGCCACACAGACATGGGTGGTTTGAAGTTATCGGCCCAACGGAGTTCGGGCTGAAATATCTTCCATTACCGTACTTATGAACAGCTCTACGATTTGGTGGCTGAGTGGTGTCTCTAGTGCATTGATAATTATTATTAGTCTGTGTCTAGATGTTTGTTATACTTGTTCTTACAATCACTCCAATGAGTCTAATGGCACATTACGTGATATCGTAGTGGTGAACTTGTCCATCATAGTCGAGATATCCTCGGAATTTCGGTTCGAATTCTACTCATTTCTTTATTTGAGACTAAAGATTTAGCCTGCCCACATTTCCTTATTATGGCTGGAGAGTGTCCTGGTGTCCTAGACGTGTTCCGTGAAAGGAATTCAAGTTCATCCAGGTTATATCATATAATGCACTTAGAAGGACTAGTCTACCATTGATTAATTTTGGCTAATTGTATGCTGTTTTGTGACACATATTCAAGTAATTTACTGTTCGAACAAACTGGGTTAGAAAAGTAGGTGTTTTCATATTTCTTGATGACAGTCAGGAATCATATTTCACTTAAAAATTTAGTCCATAGTCTGATAAAGATCAACCGGGTGATTTATCGTAAATACATTCATTTCTTGTTCGGGATCTAGTATTCTTAATGGCATGAGGAGTTATCTTTCGTTGATTGTTCGCTTTTACACAGATATGCAATCTTGTCGCTTTTCGTCCTTTTATAGTAGATTGGCATGTTGTTAGGTCCGGAGTGACATTCATGTTTTTATATGGGATTGATGAGCTAATATCTTTACTCAAGTGAATAAATTGTTGAGAGTCTTTACAGCAGACAAATTTGAACGAGAGGTGAGTGATGATTTATAGGATTTATTTCTGAGGTGGATGACATGAAAACCAAGGGTTAGAATCCTACATGCTTGAAAGCACGTAACTCTTAGCTATTGGCCAACCTAGTGGAGAGATGAAAGGGTTGTCATGCGGAATATCAGAGAGTGATAGCGTAATTTGCTTATAGGAGGTGCAGGGTTCATAAGATGAAGGTACACGTTCGTCAGGCATAGGATTTACTGGTTTTGAGTTTTTGGACATTTCTCACATTAGAAGTTTTGCTAATGAAGAATTCGCTCAACCCCTATCGAACCAATGACCTTTGTTTGGGATACTACCACGAATAATCGCTTGCAAACAAGTTCAGCCTATCGCTTATTTGTCGTGAAAATCTTCCAGTCTCAATGGCAATTCACAGCATTAATCACACGACTATGAAGTACTACAGAATGGAAATAACTGTCTGTACATAACTACTGCACTTGCGATACAAAAGTGAGCCATAGTGAAGCAACCATTAACAGTAACATTTGAACGGCAATGATATACCGATAGATAACGAATTGATCGGAAACCTACAACTAGGACAATAAAAAACCAACACGATCCAAATATTTAATGAATTCGCTACAGAAGTAAACATACTAACATTCTATTGAGCAGTAATATTAGTTCAACTTCCCTCAATTATCTGCCTTTGTGTCACATATTTCACCTTGGAGTGGGCGTGGAATAACCAGTATTCGATTATGAATCGACATCGTCCATCATTAGCATCCATGCAAGAAACGCATCTCACATCCTAGCATATGGATATTAAATAACGGTGCTGAATGTTTGCCACATGAAGTAACTAGATTTGTAGTTTTCTTTATCTTGATGCAAAGCTTCTTGTTCTCAAGGTATTCTCTGAGCCAAGAATGAAGTCTATCAGTGAAGCCTATCTTCACATCCTTCGTAATTAGAACTGTCGGTAGTGACGCGATTGGTCTATGCCAGGCTCCATCTTTTCTATCCCTCCCTTTAAACATTGCAAAGAGAGTAGTTTATGTTGCTACGTCAATTAGTCTGGTATTTTTCCCATTAATTTTAACTCAGTATTCCACTAAGGTATTGTAACTCGAACTAATGAACACATTTTTCAGTTTCTATGTTGCTAATCGGCAATTTACTAGCTCATTTGGACCTACGATGTACATAATATTTAAATGTAGGAATTGAAAATTGCAATAGTATGTAACTTAGTAGCATTCGGTTACAATGTTTCACTGACGTCAAAACTGAAATTAGGGAACTAGCGCAATATACGAACCGTAGCGAAACTTCAAGCCTTTGACTTTGATAAAGCTAACACGTAACGAGATGAAACGCCTAGCATTAGCACCAGAGACACACGTGTCACATAATCAATTTGTTATAACGTGATAAAAACAAGCAGGAACCGTGATTTTATAAACGAACTAATTGCAAGGTCATCAGAATTCTTGGTAATAAGACTATTGATCTTCTTTGAATTACGGAGCATGTTTTGACATTGGTTTGTCCACTTTAGTGTGGTCAGCCTAATAATCTTACAGAATCGAAAATACGAAAAACATTATCTCCAAAGCTGAAAACACAAAACATCTAAGTGATTGCTGTATTGAATCAATTAAATT